ATTCTTAACCAATGGGCAAGTTCAACGCCCATAAGCAACCGCGGTAGTTTTGCAACTAAGAATAAATGTCGCGTTGTTTTGTATTGCTCTGCTGTTCGCTTTTCGTTGTGAGGCTGGAGTCAATTTTGCATACAATTGAAGAATATCGGCTGTGTAACGGTAACTGTACCTTTTTTTCACAAATACTACGAAGTAATGTAATATCTGCGACACAGAATATTAACGGAAAATAATTTGCTAATTATACGTTAGAAAAATAAGGTAAGTACTTATGTACCACTTTACACGGCTGTGAAACTTTCTCTCGAGCATCTTTTCACACTTGCAACGCGAAATTCTGATGAAAATCATTCCGTGACACACAACGATCAAGAAAATCGGCTTATAACTATCTGGTATATGTAGCATGTAATGAAAATTGTTCTTCGACTAATCCCCATAGAAAGTAGTTCTCGATGAAACTACCAGCTATAGATCGTAACCATACGTGGAACGTATTTTAAAAAGTAACGAGCGTTGTACGATAATTCAGAATGAAAAAACAACTCAATTCTAATTTTCTAATTAGAACTCTTGAAAAGTAATATTTCCAAGAATAGTAATTAGCGTTAGAATTGTACTAGTTACGGCGTAACGTTTAATATGTTACGCTACACGACCCCGGTGTTCATGATATACTTCGTTAATAAGGACGTAATTATATTATACGTACGTGTAATCAACGGAAAGTCCGCGCATTTCCCTAGCAACGTTAGCGGTTGCTAGCATAACCTACTTAGCAACGAGAATCTACGTTAAAAATGAATTAAAATATAACCTGGTGATGTTCGAAGAAATTTCCAAATTGCTCGAAGAAACTCGTAAAAATATTCAGGCTTCGTCGTATATGGCCGTTTATATCCCATAGCACTATGGTTCAATTGACACTGAAAGAATAATCACAATTGTAGCATTTATCTTCACGACGAATATTCGAGACTCGAATCAATCATTATCGAGTCAATGAACAGGTCATTAGATACCAATTTCCTTGCTGCACCCGTCGAAATTTGTAAAATCAATAAAATACATGTCGCATGACAGGGGGCAAGGTACTATATGTTGCGAGTAGAAAACATGCGTGGAGGCGCTGTGGCGTTCTGCGGTCTCCCATGAGCCAATCCGGGTTGAGGATGAGGTCAGTAGCGACCAATGATCGTACGCCAAAAGAGTCGATAGTCGGTGGTATAAGATACCGTGGTGAGCGTCCATCGCGCATTAATCGTTTGGTGTTCTACCGTTGTGCGTGGCTGATAGCGGAAGCTCCATTACTTGCTCTAACTATCGACTATCCACTTTCTACAAGAGCGTAAAACACATCCCTAGACTTCAAAATGGTAAGCGAAAGTTTCTGCGAAATTTTTCACGCGAGGAATGGCGCGTTAGATTGGCAGTATCAGTCGCGGGAAGACGGCTTCGTATGACGCTTGCACCGGCCGGCTCCACCCTTTCCGTCATGGCTCAGATTTAGCATTCAGATACCGTTAAAATAGTCGAAGCGTTTATTTCTTACACGGTAAATCTACGTGCTTATTTTATAGGAGACATTGATTACGGATTGTACATAGATATTACAAAAAAAAAAAAGTGAGCGGTTTCGTTGTTTCCAGTTTGTCGAATGGCGGGGGAAGTGCGCATCGTTTTCGGCGACGCGATCGATAGTTCTCGAATGATGCCTGTCAAAAAAATTCGTGGAGAATTCGTTTTGAATATTACTGGAAATTAAATGCGATGCAGTTTATGATTTTTAAAAATATTTCTTAATAATTACGAACGAATTTTTGCGGAATTTTTAATTTGTCTGTCGATAGCGACGTGGCAACTAATTAAAATTATTTGTATTCTTTCAGCGTGAATGTATCTCAATCCACGTTGGCCAGGCTGGAGTCCAGATTGGTAATGCCTGCTGGGAATTATATTGTCTGGAACATGGCATTCAGCCTGATGGTCAGATGCCCTCAGACAAAACCATTGGTGGAGGTGATGACAGTTTCAACACTTTCTTCAGCGAAACGGGTGCCGGAAAACATGTTCCCAGAGCTGTTTTCATCGACTTAGAGCCTACAGTAGTCGGTGTGTAACTGTTATCTAATTTTTTAATAGTTTCAGAATTTATTTTAGACTAAAATAATTTTCGAAAATTTTTTTTTTCAGACGAGGTTCGCACAGGCACCTATCGTCAGCTCTTCCATCCAGAACAACTGATCACAGGCAAAGAGGATGCAGCAAACAATTATGCTCGTGGTCACTACACAATTGGCAAGGAGATCGTTGACCTTGTCTTGGACCGTATTCGCAAACTTGCAGATCAATGTACTGGCCTCCAAGGTTTCCTCATCTTCCACTCCTTTGGAGGTGGTACTGGTTCTGGCTTCACATCTCTGTTGATGGAACGTTTGTCTGTGGATTATGGAAAGAAGTCTAAGCTAGAGTTTGCAATTTACCCAGCTCCACAAGTTTCTACTGCCGTGGTTGAACCCTATAACTCAATTCTCACCACCCATACTACTTTAGAACATTCCGACTGTGCATTTATGGTCGACAACGAAGCTATTTACGATATTTGTCGCCGTAACTTGGATATTGAGAGACCTACATACACGAATCTGAATCGACTGATTGGTCAAATCGTTTCTTCGATCACTGCCTCGCTTCGTTTCGATGGCGCCCTTAACGTTGACCTGACGGAATTCCAAACTAACTTAGTACCTTATCCAAGAATTCATTTCCCATTGGTCACCTACGCGCCAGTCATTTCCGCAGAGAAGGCTTATCACGAGCAACTTTCAGTCGCGGAGATCACGAACGCATGCTTCGAACCGGCTAACCAGATGGTAAAATGCGATCCTCGTCACGGAAAGTACATGGCTTGTTGCATGTTGTACAGAGGAGATGTTGTACCTAAGGATGTTAATGCAGCCATCGCAACTATCAAGACTAAGCGTACTATTCAATTCGTCGACTGGTGTCCAACTGGATTCAAAGTTGGTATTAACTATCAACCACCCACCGTTGTACCGGGTGGTGATCTTGCCAAAGTACAACGAGCTGTCTGCATGTTGTCCAACACCACTGCTATCGCAGAGGCTTGGGCTCGACTTGACCATAAATTCGACTTGATGTACGCCAAGAGAGCATTCGTGCATTGGTATGTCGGTGAGGGTATGGAGGAAGGTGAGTTCTCTGAGGCACGTGAAGATCTTGCAGCCTTGGAGAAAGATTACGAGGAGGTTGGTATGGATTCCGCTGAAGGTGAGGGAGAGGGAGCCGAAGAATACTAAACTGAATCTCGTTGAGATTTTTCAATGACGTACAATTCGAAATAAACAACTTGATTTGCAATTGTTACTATTTCATACATTTCTCCTGTCCTTTGTATGTTTTCCCGAATCATTTGAGTTGACTAGTTCGTATGAATTCGATACTTTTGACAATTAAGAAGAACTCAAGATCTTGTAGATCTAAGAAATAAATGACGCGATTTTTCTTAGTTCTATTAATATTTCATGACGTTTTGCAAACTGACATTAGAAAATTTAAAAAGAACGGGTTTTTTCAAGGTATAGTAAGAAGTATGTGAGCAATAGGTTAATTTAAATACTTAATAATGAAGAATATTTAACGTTTATTTATTTACATACTGGTTGAGATATTGCGTATGTAAACCAACTGGTAGAGGATTGTAAAAATTGCAGTTATATATGCTCGTAATATGTTGTAATGCGAATTGATATGTTTATACATAAAGATTATATGACTGTTGGCGTCAGGAAAGAAAGATATGTTGAAATATAAGAACGCGGAAATTTGTGGTTTTCTGTCCATTGTCAACTTATCGATGTAATACATATGATTTGAGTATACGAAGTTTATGTTCAATGTTCTAATTTATTTCATACGTAATTTATAAGGTTCTTGCAAAATAATAACGAAATTATTTATAATAAAAATTTAAATTCTTTTTCTAAGCCACATCGAAATTTCTAAAAAAAATACAAGAAAGTTGGTATAAAATAAAACACTTCATTTATTTAATAAAACGTCATTTTATTTTTATTTCACATTGTCTTTGTTGCAAATTAGTACCTAATAGTGTCACGTTCTTCAATTTCTCTTCACTTTGTTTGTATCGAGATCGTTCTGTCCGAGTAGTTCGAACGTTTCATCTCGAACAGTTCAACACTCTCGATCGAAATACATTTCAAAAATAAACGTACACATACGATACATACACACCGTGAAGTACTTTGTCTAATAATTTATCGTAGTTTCTATTTTCTTATTGCGAATACAAGAATATCTCTCCTAATTCTATCCTATCTTAGTTTCTTACGCATCAGTTCATCTCGCTTTATTCCAATAACAAGAATAGATATCTTACTAAGAATCCGCCATGAGTCGTAGCTGCTTACACTTGTCGCGAATACGCATGCGTAGTACGACAGTGCACGTTGGTGCATGTCGGTGTGCACAGTGGTGTGTAAGGCGGTATTTTGTTAAAAAAAATTGGCGGTCTCGTTGGGTTAAAAATTGTGCAAATGTTATCTACATGCAATTAACAGTGCGCCCAAATGGATCGTCTGTCTGTTCAAGATTGCAACGAGTAATATGAGTGAGTGAATGTAATATTACCAAAAGTTTTCAGTAACGTTTCCCTTGGGAAAGAATGTAAAAACCATTGCTCAAATATCGATACAATATTACATTCGATGCATCGAAACCGAAGTGACGGTGTTGAATAAATGTTGAATAAAGTTTATTTCACGTATATTTGGACTAATGTCTCGGCACAGGTGTATCGATAACTTCTATATATCGATATATTGTTTGCATACCTACTTCCAAGGCAAGAAGCTGTGCCTTGGATGTATGCAGTGGAGTACAGCCCCTCCAACTCGAGTTCTCGTTGCAACGTTCTCCGGTTTCCTCAATCACGTTTTTTTCTCGTGTGCTGAATAATACATTTAAACTGAAACCATTTCAAGGAATGCTAACTTTATTTCATGACCACTTACGATAAGAATGAGTGAGTATTCCGGTGGGAGACACAAACGTTAGAACGGCTTTGTATATTCTTGTGTGCTTATCTTGTAACTTAAGCCGGAGTATATACGAGACTCATGTATTTCTGATAAAACGTACACACTTTTACGCTCTACCTGTACGAATTGCATGTGTATACAATGTGTACACCTTACACTCCAAAATGTTGTACTTACACGTGTGTCAGACCAATGTGTTTAAGATAATTCAGGTAGAAAATACTACGTCGTGTTGCGTCTAATGCATTGAAATTGAGTATTTTTTTTCATTTAGGAATTCAAAGAATGGTGTGAAAAATTTGTTCCCCTAAATATTTTTAGTATTTTCGCATATGTGAGATACAGTTTTTTGTACGTGGCAAGTAAATTATGTATGAGACATTTGACAGTTTTGAAATAAAGGAAAGTATCTTTGTACAAGGCAGTCTAGAGGTTATATTCGCGACTCTTTCGTTGTCCCTTTGTAAATTTAAATATAACTAGGCACAACTATTCTCATGTTTGCAAATAAAGAAGTGTGCATGAAAATATGTGATACATTATGTTCATTAAACTTTCCCTAGCGTTATAATTGTTTAAAATGGTGTAGATACTTCAATAAACTAAACATGTAATTATTTTAAGTATTACTGTTTATTAATATTTAAAAGATACTTTTTTACGTCGCTTTTACGCCATGCCTGTTTATTATAATTGTAGTATACATTATAAATATATGTGTAAGCACTTGTATTGTGTACTTTACTTATTGTATTTTTAAGGTTAAAGATATATCACTTTAATAGTACAAATGCTTCAGAAATGAAATACAGTTTTAGAATTTTATGTAATATTGTTGTTATTTATTAGTTCCTGTAGATTGGTAGAAAATATTATTATGATACATGCTAATGTTATATACTCTTTTTTTGCACAATAAACATTGATAATTCCTTCTCCAATTTGAACTTTTGTTATATTACAGACCACTGCAAAGCCATGAAGATGAGTTTCTCCTTAACTTCGCTGCAGCCGCTTAGCCATGGCTTAGAAAAGCATGGCCAAGTGGGAATAGCGATAGAAAGGCCATACAACAGTCTCACAAAAAAGCGGTTAGTACTTTACATTTCATATGTATCCATTTTTTCTATCATTCAAGGTGTCACTTTAACAAATACTTCTTTCTTTAGTTATTAGTTCCTTATTCTGACCAACATGTAAAAAATCTTTTCTTTTGATAAATGTTTTACTTTCATTAGCAATAAGTTTTGCTTTGAGATTGTTATTTTACAGTACGTGTGTAAATAACCAAACATATTTATTTATATTACAGGAAAGATTCAAAGCAATTCCCCAATCAACGTTTATGGACAAATCGTGAAGACTGTAAAGATGAGTTCTGGGCAGCAATACGATCTAACTATGATTATATTATGGACACTAATTTGATAGATAGTTGTAAGGTTTGTATTTTATTTATATATTTATAATGCAATAGAGTATAAATTCTACATGATACATATTATATTTATGTTTCAATTTATGTTAATAGGAAGCTAATGGTGAATTAACATGGGATGAAACTGATGTATCCACACAATCGTGGAGTTTTAAAGAAGTTAGTAGTCAATTCTCAGAACTATATTCATGGCTAAGAGTGCTACAAGAGTTAGTTTATTGCAAAGAAGAAAATTTATTAGATAAAAGTCTGCGTGCGGTACGTATCATTCGGTTATACGAAGCAACACAAACTTTACGTTGAAAGACGTTACGTTATGTACCAATTTCAAAATATTTACTTTAGGCTCACATGGAGGAGCTGCGACGTAGGGCGTATAGAAGAAAATTATTTAATGAACAAGCTGGAAAATTAGTGTCACGTGCCCCTGCTTTTAAAGATGAAGTGGCGTGGCGTGTTGACCATTTAAATGCAAAATGGGAATTAGTTGAACAAATTATGGCACCTGTTGAGCGGCCTATATCAAATCAGCAGGATATATCAGCAGGTAATTTCATTTAACTACAGTAATCCGAAGCGGAACCTCCGGTTTACGAATTAAGAGTTTCTAAGTGAAAGATTTATGTTATAGACTTCGAGCATGAAGTAAAGTGTTTGAGGAAATGGATTCGCGAAATGGAGTCCCGCCTTCAACCTTTGAGTTTCCATATAGATTGGACATTAGCAGAGCTTGAGGAGAAAGCAGTGGAGCATATGGTGAGTAACACAAAAAACAGCCGTTTTTTATAATATTTAAAAAGTTAATTTTCCACGAAGTAACATGTTCACAGCGAAATAAATGAATATTAAAATGACGCTTTGATATAAATTTTCAACGCTAATCTATGCAGAATTAAAACAGATTAAACGATAAAATAAAAATGACGATAAAACGCATAATACTGGAGTGATAAGCAAACTCGGACAAACGGCACACGAGCAACACGTTTACACACGTTGCCCGAGTCATTAACGCGACAAATCAATATTATAAATACGTCGTTTCCGTTTGGAAGCCGGATATATCTCTTTATTGTTAACGGAAACGGTCGACAACGGACACTTAAGCAGGCGTACAGGATAAACGCCGGTAATAGTAAATAATTACGTTCGGCATGCTTGAGATACACGTAACGTGTACACGAATCTATCAAAGCGATTTAAGAAAGCAACCTAGACCGATTTTTTTTTTTTTTTGGGATAGATGCGTAACGATTATACAGACACTAATTAATACCTGTGTTTCTGTTGCAATCACATTTTCGCAATTGTGCAACCCGAAGCGTAGATAGCGAAGCAAGTTTTACTTTTGTCGTGGCGAGACGAGAGTCGAGGCACGTTCAGTTTCAGCACGATTCTCTTTCGACTCTCTGTGCTGTATGATCAGGTGGGCGTCGGGAACCCGACTCGTGTTAGTTCCGTATCTTTCTACCGTGTTTTCTATCTTCTTCTTTCGCTCCTTTCCTCCCCCCTTAATTGCATCTCAACACAAAACATGATACGTACTGGACCTCGCGAACGTATGCATAACTACGGTGTATTGTGTGGCGCAATAGTGGTGGTGTGGTGTTGCGAGCGTGCGTGTGTGTTTTCGACTTTTTTTTATACGCCGTGTGCTGTACGAGTGTTATTCCATTCTTGTCCTATTGCATCTCAAAACAATGTTTCTCCGAGTGTATTTACGTTATCCTTCGACCTTTGCTGTATATTGTTATTTCAGTTAGTAAGTTGTTGGCATCTGGCGGAATCGGACACGATATTTAACAGAGGCGTGTGATATATTATTCGACGTAATATAAGTTTACCTTATTCGTAGTTATGTAATTAATAGTACCTCTACATAAGTTACAAGTGAATTCTTGGTATAGGGCTCTAACAATAACATTGCATTAAACGAAGTGAATTAAACGAAGTGTAAAGTGTTAGTAATATCAGTAGTAAACAACTTTCAGTTTTATAGACCAAGGATTCTGTGTTGTGGATATACGTCGAATTTCTCGTTTTCTTGAAGCAAAACGTGTTCACTAGATATAAGTGTACATTAATACTATTGCAATTCACGCAATCTCATTAACCGTAATATCAGTTTGTACAGTAAACGAGGAACGTCGTGTGAAGTACTATTAGAACATGAATTGCAAATGCAAATCATGTAACTGTACCGTTTTAACATCTTCATGAAACGGATCGTGATAATGAAACATTTTATATGATAATACATACATACGTATCGCTCGTTTCCTTCGTGGAACAGTGAAAAATTCGTCAGATTTGAAAATAGAAAGAAATGCATAATCGTTTTTATTTCGACACTAATAACGCTTCAAATTGATATTTAAATTTATGTCATAAGGAGACCTTTATTACTCTAAACGAACGTTATATAACATAGTCTTCGATCGGATTTTATGGATAGGCGAAATGATACGTTGCCAAACGGCAAAAAATCCGTAATGAACATAACGTTTATCCCTTTTTGCTCGGTGCATTAGATGGAAGTTAAAGAGAGCAATTTAGAACGGTTTCATTTCCCGGTGTAAGAGAAACGTGCATTTTCTCATGGATGCCACGATGAGTGGTAAATTAAGGATCGATCAAGACTCGTAGGTGATCCTTAATACATGTTCGAAGTAGCTCTTGCGTTCCCGTTCTCATAAAGATCTTCAAGAATCCTGATAACGAGGACAGTGAAAGTTTCACTTTTTATTCTCGAATTTTTTCGTACTCGAAACACTTGCTCTTTCATATTTGAAAACGTTTGGAACAACGTAGAAAGAGTTTCACATTTTTTAATTGGCATTCCTTCGAAAGAGAGATAAAAAGATAAAACAGTTAACTTTCGATTGTTCTCGTTTATATTTTTATAGGTTAGTGTAGCTCGAATTTGAATTTTCTAGATAGAAGTGATTTCGTATGAAAATTTCAACATCGTTCCGACTCTCAAACACTCTGTTGATCGATAAAATCGAACGGAAGCATCGACCGAATAACTTAAATTTAGCTCTCTAGGCTGGTGCGAATAAATTTGTTTACGGCTCGGTTCGTTGCTCCCAGACAACACCACATGGCGGGCTTGTTTGTTTTATGCGAATTCCACGGAAATTTCGAAAACTTCGCCACGAAGACCTGGGGGATTCACTCTGTCGTATACTCGTGTGTTTTATAGTCATTCTAAAAATTGTTCTCGGGTCACGCGCGTGAAAAATAGTCAAGGTTAAAACGTGCTTCGCTAACGCGGATTAACATCCCTGTTACGTAATCGTCTTCCCGTGGTGGCGCAGTGAAAGCTGCGCAATCGTCACGAAAATCTAGTCGAACTTCGAATTAAACTTCGATCAAATTTACATCAAATTTACACAAAGTTCGAATTAAATTAAAATTAAATTCAAATCAAGTTTAAATGAATTTAAATTAAATTCAAATCAAGTTCAAATAAATGTCAATTTGATTGCATAAAATTACAATAAAATCCGTGGCAAAGGGCGGGAAAGTGAAAAAAATTGATCGTTTCAAATATAAATTTGAATCAGTGGTTCAATTTAAATCTAATTTAAATTCGAATGAAATCAAATTAAAATTTCAACGAAATTCATCTGTAAACCTCAGAAATCGCTTAAAATAAAAAATCGAAGAAAGTTACCGGCGCAACTCGAACATTTCTCATCTCGGCTGGCAGGATCCCGGTTAATTAATTTCGAGAAACTCATTGTCCAGGTGCACGGCGGTGATTTTTCGCGTCTTTATCATCGCGCATGCCAGGAACGTTTCGGTACGCGCGCCATTCATTAAACCCCAGATATCGTAGTACGGGACGCGATATACGCGGATATTGAATCTCGAGATAAAACGATTAATCTATCATACATGCTCGGTTCTTCGATTCAATGGAGAAAATAAAATGAAAGTCGCTATTAAGGTCGCGCCGCGTACAAACCGAACCAGTACATACATATACACGATTGAAGAAACGAGAGAAGGAGATAAAATAAAAAGAAAGAAAGAAAGAATGTAAAAAAAAGAAGAAAATGCAAACGACACACGATCACGATAATGATATATACGCATGGAAACGCATAATTTATTTCACGTCGTGTATCGTTGCACGTACGGATTGTCCGATCGATAGAATTTCAGTACGCTGATGAAGATTGATGGCGGCACTTGTGTCGTTCGATGGAAATACGCTCCGTTCGAGTGTCTCGTGGAGAGACATCTGTTACGGATGCTCATTGATGCTCGTGAATCGTGTAAATTTCATTGAAAACTGATACTGGATCGTCGTTAACTGGATCCAACGATAAATAGAAACGTGTATGCGTTAATTGTACTTTAACGCATAGGTGATTTATATTTCATTTAGACGGTACCCGGAAACGAATGAAAAATTTCTGTTTCGCAAATTTCATTCATCGGTGGAGGAAACGGAAGTGATTAAGATTTGATATTCGTTGAGAATATATGTAAGTTAAGATCAACATGGCGAATTTTCATCGCGTATCGCGGTGTTTCTCAGTGATTCAGTAGGAAATTTGAGACATTTAATTACCACGTTCTTCCTAATTGTGAAATTGCTAATTGGGTAGAAAGTTTGGAACAGGCTTTACCTGAAATGTTATTGGGTAATTAATCGTACAGGTGTTTTCCGAAATATCCGGATATCGCCGGGTATGTATATTGTTTCGTGCATTAACTGTACTCTCGTTCACATGATCACTGATACTATTCTACGCTCACATACACCGTTGAACAGAGTGTTCGCATAAATTTTCATGCGGATGAGTTTGTTCGAATTATAATTACAATGCCGCCGTTAATTTCACTTCCTTCTTAATTAGAATCCATTAAGCAAATGTGCTTCGAATGTACTGTATTTTCTGAAGAAATTAATTTCCCTCTCTCTCTTTTTTTTTAAGTATGAAATTTAGATTTCCATCGATTTTCTTCGGAAGAAACCCTTATTTCCGGTTTATCTGCTCATCGAAGGACAGGAAAATTCGTTGCACTGTCTAAAAAACTTAATTTCTCTCTTTTTTTTTAAGTACTGAAATTTTTATTTTCGATATTTAAATTTCCATCGATTTTCTTCGGAAGAAACCCTTATTTCCGGTTTATCTGCACATCGAAGGACAGGAAAATTCGTTGCACTGTCTAAAAAAATTAATTTCTCTCTTTTTTTTGAAGTACTGAAATTTCTATTCTCTTTATTTAAATTTTTATCGATTTTCTTCGGAAGAAACCCTTATTTCCGGTTTATCTGCTCATCGAAGGACAGGAAAATTCGTTGCACTGTCTAAAAAAATTAATTTCTCTCTTTTTTTTGAAGTACTGAAATTTCTATTCTCTTTATTTAAATTTTCATCGATTTTCTTCGGAAGAAACCCTTATTTCCGGTTTATCTGCTCATCGAAGGACAGGAAAATTCGTTGCACTGTCTAAAAAAATTAATTTCTCTCTTTTTTTTAAGTACCGAAATTTCTATTTTCGATATTTAAATTTCCATCGATTTTCTTCGGAAGAAACCCTTATTTCCGGTTTATCTGCTCATCGAAGGACAGGAAAATTCGTTGCACTGTCCAAAGAAATTAATTTCTCTCTTATTTTTTAAGTACCGAAATTTCTATTTTCTTTATTTAAATTTTCATCGATTTTCTTCCGAAGAAATTCTTGTTTCCGGTTTATCTGCATATCCGTAGGACAAGAAAAACTCTCACTTTCTT